ATTAAAATTATACTTAAAATCGTCCCTAAATAAAATCCTCCTTAGGTCAGGCCCGCTTGCTGGAAAAGCCATGTCTTGAGGGCGCGGCGGAAAGTAAGGAGATCCGGAATCATCCGGATCTCGGGGGGTAGTTCGTTCCAGAGGGTGGGGGCACCCACAGAGAAGGCCCTCCCCCTGGGGGTCGCCAGCCGACACTGTTAGGGAGGGTCCCTTCTGAGCTTTCTCCCCCCCCCCTCATTATGGAGCTGTGGGCTATGTTGTCCTTTAGCTGACTGCTCTTAGCAGCATCTCTTCCCCGTTTCCCTCCCCACCCCAAGGTCATTCCCACATACCATTACAACGGGGAAGCAAGCAGCAGGTAGGTTGCAAATGGCAATTACTGACGGCAGGGAACTGCAAACTCATGGGATTCACCTAATAACAACAACTGGAACTGTGGATACTGCCACTATAAGTTGGCATGGTCATGTGATGTCACACTTTATGACTGTGCTGCTTAGCGATGGAATCGCGGTCTCAGTTACTGTTGTAAACCAAGGACTACCAGCCTATCACTACCACCTCCATTCAAAAATTGTGGAATATAACTTCTGGTGCCAAATGGACATGTTTTTTTTTTAAAAAACTGGGTGTTGAAGTCCACCCGTCTTAAAGTTGCCAAGGTTGAGAAACTCTGCCCTGAAGGCAGACTGGCAAGAACCGAGTGCAGACAGCCAACGCAGTCCTGGGCTTCATCAATGAGGGATAGTTTCCAGATCATGTGACGTGTAAGTGCCTCTTTATACTGCAGTAGTGTGAGAACACACTTGGAATAGTGTCCAGTTCTGCTCACAGTACAAAAAGGATGCTGAGAATCTAGATCAGGGGGTCTTCAAACTTGGCCCTTTTATGACTTGTGGACTTCAACTCCCAGAATTCCTCAGCCAGCTTGCCAAACCAAAGTATTTCCTTCAAATTTGCTTTTGGAAAAATTAAAAGCATCCGATTAAAGAAAATTGTTCAAAATGAAAACAGCACACTTTTTGCATCGCTTCAGTGTTCCATTAGAATATTTTGGGATGGCAAAATCAGGAAAAATATGACCAGATGCTGAAACAGTTGCAAATTGCCTAAATGGTAGTAAGATTCTTGTCACTACAAAGCAGGGTTAATCCTTTTTTTTTCAGAGAGAAAATTCAGATTGCAGGATTCAAGGCACTGGAAGAAGAGAAATATCAGGGTGATCAGCAAAAATGATCAATAATTGCAGGGAAATCGGTTTGGTCCATGGTAGCTAAAAACCAGAGAGCCTGGTAGTATCTTTTTAACACTAGTAAATGTTATTAGAAAGTGTAAGCTTTTGTGAGCTGCAGGTTATGCCTTTAAATAAAAATTGTCACTCTAAAACAGTGTTTCTCAGTCTTGGCAACTTTGAAGTGAGGACTTCAACTCCCAGAATTCCCCAGCCAGCATTCTGGGAGTTGAAGTCCACACCTCTTAAAGTTGGCAAGGCTGAAAATCACTGCTCTAAAATGATGCTGACCCGATTTTTTTTAATGACAAAGCGACTGTCCTTCTAAGGCCATATTACGATCTGAGCTTTCATAATTCCCTTCCCTCCACCTCACAGGGCCAATGGGATAAGGCTAATGGGAACTGTAGTCCAGCAATTTCAGAATGCCGATCGCTCACCAGGAATATTCCGGGCCTAATTTTAACACTAAATTTCTGCTTTGCAGTTTTTCAATGATTCGTTTTCCTTAATATTTCCCACGTCACAAACTCCATTAAGTTTTTTTCTACTATACTGGAGGGACCGTTTGCTCCGCAGGCAAAGTTTGAACCCAGAAACCTGTTCAGGATGCATCCGTATCTTCAGGGGTCTGCAGGAAAGATTCAGGCAGCCTCCCACTGCCTGTCTTGCACTAAGACACGATTAATCACAGTTTGCTGAAAAAGCAGTAATTGGTCACATTGAACCATGAGAAATTATAAACCATGACTTACAGATCACCAATGCAAGAAGCCAGAACCAACCTATCACAGCATCATGGTTTAGATTGTGCAAAGCCAGTTTATTTGGTAAAGTGGTTGTGTTTCCCCTCAAACTGTCTATAAAGGATGTGATGTCCCTGAAAAAGGTAACTGGGTAAGCTTTTAGGACTAATTTTTAACCGGGAAATAATACACACTTAGAGAAGGTACACCTTTATGGAAAAATATTGATTACTCCAGCCCAAAGTGAAGTAGAACATACCCACATAATTAAGGTATTATTATTTTGGTTGCTGTAAGAAAAACTGTAACAGATCAACCTCTCACAAAATCCTTGGAACTAAGACCTACTCCAATTTAGGTCTTCACTGCACTTAGCCTGAATTTATGTACTTTTGTGCTGCAATCACAATTCTCTCTATCTTATTTCTTCTATCAATACCAACGTCTTGCTTTTTAATATTCAAACATGGCCAATAAAAGTCACTTCACCTTATTCCTCCATGAGGTCAATTTCAAAAACTTTGCTCTTTGATAAAACAAAAATTCCGTCTCAATAACATCTCCCAAAACTATACTTGTAAGGAGAAGTCGTCTTCGATTCACTGAAGTAAAATTTTATAGAAAATTTTTATTCAACATACAACATTTTTTTTTCCAGCCATAAAAGGCAATATACAGGAAGAATCATTGCACACTGTAGCTACAGAAACAAAATAAAATGAAACAAAATGGGGGAAGGAGGAAAAGAGAAAGAAGAGGAGATAAGAATGAAGGAAGGGATGAAGATAAAGAATATGAAAATAAAGGAGAAAATAGGGAAGGGAGTGTAAATGGCAGATTCTAGCTTTACCCACTCAAAAAGAAGAAAAAAAGTAGATAGACCACAAAGGTTGCCATTAGCTCCAAACTAAAACAGGAGAGGAGGCTGGGACCGAAATAAAACTACACACAATGAATATTGACATCTGAGGAATTCACTGGCAGACTCCCCCTGCCCCCCCTCCCCGCCAAAAAGCAAAATCTCCAAGTGTTAAATTGTACATGTTCCTTTGTTAAATATACAATTCCATTTTCTGCCCCCTCCCAAGCTCCCTGCCCCTTTTTACAAAGTCAACAGCTTACTAAATGCTAGTGAACGTGCCCTCAGTGCGAAAAAGCGAGTTTGCTCGTCTTCCCGGATTAGCTAAAATTCAGTATAAATCGGGTGATTTCCCCCCACACCCTTCTGCAATCCCACTGAGATGCCGGCCGCTATACCCGGACATTATTTCATAATCAAAAGGTTTCCTTCTTCTGAGCAAGTTTCCAAAAGGAATATTAAAGATGCCATGGCTCTTTTGAGGATTTTGAGGTCTTCCTTGGCAAAAAGCGATGTGGGGGGAGTGAAGGGGGAAACTCTGACTCAAAAGTCTTTTATTTAAAACAATAATAATAATAATAATAATATCATAAGAATAAAAAGAGAACTCCTAGGCTGATTGAAAAGACGTTTCTCCCCCGAATAAGTGCCAACAGTGTACACAATGAAGTAGAGATTGCTATTTATTGATGATGTGAGTTTCTCTTCGCATTTACAAATGCACAAAAATTTCATTTAAAGTATATAACTGAAGGAAAGAAATCAAACGTGAGCCTAACCACAGTGCCAGCTAGCTGCAGTGATGGCAGGTACCACGCATCGGGGGAGAGGATTTGGGGGGGTGGGGGAGGAGAGAAAGGAGGGAGGGGTAGGGCAGCCCGCACAGACTGTGCCCATAAAGGTACTACAGACAAAGAGTTTGCCAATGTCAACGGTCCTATTCAACCCTTCCCTTGTTTTATGCTGACCATCTTGCCTGCTTTACATTTCCCATAAAAACTCTCATTGGCACCCGAGCTTTTTTTTTGTTATAAAACACCTTCATTTTTTGTTTTTGCTCAAAAATAAAATAAAATTGAGGGCAGTCAATAATAGATACAGAGAAGCCAAACAGAACAGCCTCAAAATAAAATTAATAAATCAGCAGCAAATTGTCTTGCTGGAGACTCCCGATCTCAAGTGCACGTGTACCAAAAGTCCTACAGTTGTTAAAAAGGTGCGCGCACGCACACACACACACACACACACGCACGCGCACACACACACGCGCGCACGCACACACACACTTATTGTTGCCCCTTTTGCCTCGAACAAACTGGAGAGGGTAAGTCAGTTATGGATTTTAATAGCTTTTTCAAGGTACGTGTAGCGGCTTCTCTTTGGGGCTTTGTTGAAATGATCGAGGCCGAGCCATGGCCTGGGATGGGACATGTTGCCTGCAGAAAGAAAGAGGAAGCATGAATTAAGTTTCTGGAGGGTGGCTGTGACACTCGACAAGTCCTGAGGAATTGTGACACAGATCCCGCCCACCTTCCGGCAAAGAAGGAGTCTCAAACCTCAAGTAGCTCCCACTTCCTTGGAAACACACACATGCGTGCAAGAGAGAGAGAGAGCACGCACGCACACACCACACCCGCCCAGCCTCCAAATGAAGATAAACGGACTCTCACCGGGTTGGGGCTCAAAATCTTTCAAGTTCACTTCATATTCGTCTTCATTAAGATACTGGTGCCGGCCCATCATTACAATAGCAAACTTAAACTTCAAAGAGAAAAAAACAACAACAACAGATTTCTTTACTGAATTTCAGTGACTAGACTGCAACAAAAATTGGGTCACAAGAGAAAACAATAAACCTTTGGAAAGATATTTCAACAATCGCCGACTCTATGGGACGAGGGCTGGGGAGAAGTCGGCTAAGAGGAAAAGCAAAAAACAAAACAAAACAAATAAAAACCAAACCAAACCAAAAAAACCCCTGGGTCTCCAAGGTTGACTTTACTGAGCAAGCACAGGTGGTCCTCGACTCACGACAGTTCATTTAGTGACCGAAGTTAGAATGGCATCGAAAAAAGTGACTGATGACGCTTTTCACACTGCAGCATCCCCATGGTCATGTGATCAAAATTCAGCTGCTTGACAACTGACTCATACTTATGACGGTTGCAGTGTCCCGGGGTCACACGGTCCCCTTTTGCGACCTTCTGACAAGCACAGTCAGTGTGGGGAAGCTGCATTCACTTAATGACTGTGTTACTAATTTAACAACTGCAACGATTCACTTAACAACCCTGGCAGGAAAGATCGTAAAATGGAGGCAAAACTCACTTAACAAATGTCTCACTCGGTCACAGAAACATTGGGCTCAACTGTGGTCGTTAAGTCGAGGACTGCCTGTTATCTTTGGGGAAATTATCGCGGGGCGGTTCCCCCCTTTGTCATCCTAGCCCAGGGGTGGGGAACCTTGGCTCTTTTATGACTGGTGGACTTCAATTCCCAGAATTCCTGAGCCAGCCATGCTGAGGAAAAGGGAGAGGTTTCCAAGCTGAGCCATGCTGGCTCAGGAATTCTGGGAGTTGAAGTCCACCAGTCATAAAAGAGCCGAGGGGTTCCCTACCCCTGTCCTAGCCTTTCACCTTTGGGCCCATTGTGGGGCAAGAGGCCTTTGCGTGACTCTCGAGCATCCAACAGTTGACAGTCTGGTTGTGAGATATTCCCTCCCAACCCCCAAAAGTGGAGGCAAAGTAAGCCCCAGAGAAGTATCTGCTTGGGAAGGGGGGGGGGAGGGAAAGGAGAAATACACAGTCCTCAACTTATGACTGGTCACTTAATCATTCAGAGTTATGACAGGTTCCTTCCCACCCCCCCTCCAAAAAGCTGCTTGTAACCCATTTTTGAAGTTAGGACAACTGGAGACCCCTTCTGCGGCCGCGTGATCACATTTTGGGTGTTTGGCAGCTTGGTTCACCCCTTAGGCCCATTTGCCGCATCCCATAGTTATGTGACCGTAATTTACAATTTGTTTCCCTGTCATTTCCAGCAAAAAAAAAATGCCCACTGGGGGAAAAACCATTAGCTCAATGACCACGGTGTTCATTCAACAAAAAGGGAGGAATCCCTGCAGATTTTAATCCACTAGTTGTTGCCAACTTTAGGGGTTGGGGAGTGCTCATCTCCATTTCAAGGCCATTGAGTCACCACTGTCCGAAGACATTTCCACGGTCACGTGGCCAGCATGACGTCAGGGAGCGCTGTTAACTTACCACCAAAGTGGTACCTACTGATCTACTTGCATAGATGCATGCTTTCGACCTGCTAGGCTGTCAGGGGCTGAGGTGAAGAGTGGGACCTCACCCCATCAAGTGGCACTTGAACCTGGGCTACTAGTTTTCCAGCCAACAAGCCCAGGGTCTCGACACCTCAAGTTACAACCACGATGACTTATTTTTATCATTCTCGTCTCTATCCATGCTTTCTCCTCTGTATTAAACCCAATTGTGTTTTACATCTCAAATATAAAATCCAACATTTGAAACATAGAATATTTGAAGTATTTAAATTTACAAAGCAATTCTAGGCAGTTTTATTCAGAAGAATGTAAGCAAGAACTCTATGGAGGGGGGAGAGGAGGTCCTTACAGATTTAATGAAGAATGGTAAATCTGAAGAAGGGACACCTCTTTCTTCTACCTCACTCATGCCAATTCTAACACCCATCACACTGTGCAGAGTAACAGGCATTCTATCTCAGATCAATACCTTTTCAAATTCCTTCTCTTGGATGTCCAGGACTGTCTGAATCCTCTTCATCACTTCTCGAAAATGTTCACCCTAGAAGCATCAGAATTCCAGAAATACACATTAATTCTAGCACGTTAAAGAAGACCAAGCATATATTGTGCTAGTAAACTGTAGTTCTCTGTTTGTTTTATACATCTGAAATGATGCTTACTGACGTTGAAAGTTTGTTTTGTGTGCCTGTACTGTATAAAAGTTGAACAACTGCGCGTACACATTTATAAACATTCATGCACACCCATGCTTGCACACTAAGTTTACTACCTAAAAATATTGACCAAAAATTATGGTGAGGGGCTTGGAGTGAACAATAATAAGAATTTTGTGAGACTTGATCAGTTACTGGTTTGGGAAGACCATCCATCGCTTTTGGGTCTCCAGTGCAACAGAATTTCTCTTCTGGTAACACAGACTCAATACAACAACAGTGTCTACTACAACACAACCCACCTGGTGTATCCTTAGCAAGAAAGGGGTGCCAAATGTCCCAAAAACCTCTTTCTGGAAATGAGCCACTGTGATTAGCATCTCATTCTCCTTATCAAGTTCCACCTGGTCCAAAGGAATTTCCTACGGCAACAAAGATCAATGCAAGATGCTGGTTAGGAAGAACTGTCCAACAGCAGCATAAGCAGGAGAGTTGAAAAGCATGGGAGTAATAGAATCAGAGCTTCTGAAACCAAAGCAAGATGCAGACATTGGATTAGAAAGCATCTGCAAGATCTCAAGGTGAGCAGAGACAAAGCTCCCTCAGGCACTTCATCAGCCCTTGGGGCTCTCTTTTTATCCCCACCCTTTACAAAATTTATTAATTCTGGTAATCTCTAGCCTGACGAAAATGATGATATCAAAAGCTTGTCTCATCCAATCAATCAAATGAACTGGAGAGAGCGATTATATTACAGTTTGGGGACTACCGCCTCCTGGGAAAAAAACTTGCCAGCATGCTCTCTCCTCCCCTCTCCCCCCACCCCAATTTTAAGAGGGGAACCTCCTCCTTTTTTCTTTAAAGGGCTCCTGTGTTGCAATGTTAGATCTACTGCATCAGTTCAGATCTGGTCTAAGGATTTTGGTCCTAGAGGCAGATAAACCAAACAAGCACCTGCTCCTGAAAACAAATTAGTACAAAACACACAGGTGTATGGATGACAACTCCCAGAATTCCCCAGCCACCATGCTGGGCTGGCTGGGGAATTTTGGATATTGAAGTCCACACATCTTGAAGTTGAGGTTGAGAAACGCAGATCTGACAACAATTCTCCCTGAAGCAGCTTTATTACAGTTGATCATTTCAGTGAGGCCTGCGGGAGAAGCTCTTTATGAGGCCCCTTTCCTACACCTCATCTAACTTTTCCTAACAAAAGCAATTTCCCCTCTTGCCTTCTTTGCATACATGGGCCTCAGAACCCCGTAAATGGGGTAGGACCCATTGGGAATTAATGGATTTTCTCAACTGCATCATGAGGAAACGGGTAATTCACCTAACTATGGTTTACTGAACAAGTCACAATAGCCTGGATTGTGCATTACAACGAACATCGAACAAAGCACATTGGGGTTGAATTCAAAGGAGGGACCCAGCCATGAAACCTGCTTGGCCCACGGCCCCGGCCTTTCCAAGGACCTGGTAGTCATGTTTGACACTGTCTCAATACTGACCTCTATTCGAAATGTCCGACTGGTTGCTGGAGATAAGCACTCTAGTAATTCATCTTCCTGATGGACACCAATGATTTTGTAACTTACAATTTCTAGCAGCCTTAACAAGAGAAAGACGGTGTAAGAATACTCACAAACTCACAACTGAACTCCTGAGGAAGTCCTGTTTCTTTGGACAGAACTTAGTGCAGGAGGCGAGATGACTTTTAGAAAGATGCATTCCAATCTGGCTCAACACGCATTTTTACAACTGATAAAACGTAGCCCGGTAAAGAGAAAGAATTAAAAACATTTTCAAATTGGTAATCAAATTAAGGTTTAGCTTTCCTAATTTGTTCAAGTATACTTTCCGCTTTCTGTAGATCTCTGGAGCAGGGGGAAAATCTTTTAATTAAATAAAGAAAACACTTGCCTTAATTTCCCTGAACCTCTTTCAGCAAGTTCTACAGCTTTTTTACATTCATCTAGTAAGTCTCGCACGCATCCATGTTTATCTGGATATAGTGTTATTTCCTAAAAAAGTTAAGATGGGGGAAGGGAGGAAGAGAGGGAGAGGGAGAGGGAGAGGGAGAGGGAGGGAGAGAGAGAGAGAAAAGCAGAAGCCAATAATTAATTGCTATATAATGCAAAAGGAAAGTTAGAAGGAACAAGTTCTCGAGTTATATACAAATGCTAAAACTTACCAAGTTTGTTTGATATTACAAAAGAACCACTAAAATGGAAGTAGGCTACATTGCATACAAATAATGTTCTAGGTATCCAATAGGATTTGCAGAAGAAAAAATATTGAATAAAAAAAAGAGCTTTGGATAGTGAGATGGGCAGCATATAAATTTAACGAACAACAAGTTAATTCATTTCATCTTTGTGCAAACAAAAGGAGACTTGTGGAATTAGAACACTACCGAGCAATTATTCAGTTAAGTTTATGTATGGAGGTGAAAAGCTAAGTAACAACAACAAATCCCTAGATCTGTTAGAGATAAAAATTCTGATTTGCCCCTCAAATACTCTTATTACCAGAATTCTGAAATTGGTAAACATTTTGTAATTTATAAGACAAATAAGTGAGTAACACAAATTAAAAAAAAATGAATAAAACTTGCTATTTGATCATTCTGAACACTACAACATACGAAAGGGCTTACCTCTTCCCTAAATTGGCTGTTTAGCCATATGCACTTAAAACTTCTCCTGTTTTCAAAGTCTGTGATTTTCATTTTAAGCTATGGAGAGTTGGGGGGGGGGGGAGAAAAGACACTATTTTAATCATACTGAAAAACAAGCCAAAACAAACAAGACTGCAGAGGTAACGAAAGCCCCTACCTGCTGATAATAAAGTTTCTTGGGTTGTCTGGGTTTGAAGAACTGCAGGAGATCTCTTAAGGTTCCATCATAATTATGCCTAAGAGGGTTACCCGGACCATCCCTGTAACTAAAAATCAGATAGACAGAGAAGCAGAAAAAAAGAAATCTCACTTTAAAATACTTTCTGCACATTTTAATTGGTTTTTTTTCTGTAATCAGTCTTTAGTATGTTATATATTCTGTTTGATATCAATTATGATTTTTCCCTGCCCTTCAAATAAAGAGGGGGAGCCCTAGTGGCTCAATGGTTAGAATGCAGTATTGCAGACTAATTCTGCCCACCAGCAGCAGCTCGATCCTGGCCGGTTCAAGATTGACTCAGCCTTCCATCCTTCTCAGGTCGGTAAAATGAGGACCCAGATAGCTGGGGCCAACAGGCTGACTCTATAAACCACTCAGAGAGGGCTGTAAAGCACTGTGAAGCAGTATATAAGTCCAAGTGCTATATACAGGTTTTACAGAATCTACAGACATTTATCACCTTGTGGAAAACATATTTTAAAAATCATGCTACTTAAAAAGTATGCACGTTGATCCATGATGAAGATCACCAACTTGGAAAGAATGTTTAACCAGAACGTCAATTGCACCAGGATATATATTACACAGAGTTATGTGCAGTGTGAACCAAAATCCAATTAACCTGTAGAAAATTTCCAGCTATGCAAAATGTTGCAAATTACCTTTTCTGTGCACAATTGGCATTCTCTCCCCAAATCCAGGATTCTACCCTGGAGATTTTTGGCATCAGGAATATACATGAGATATCATTTTCCCGCATTTGTAGTTTTCAGCATCTACATTACAACGTGAACCAGACAATACATTTGATCAACATCTCTTACCCTTGGGACTTGAAAAACTGCAACAGCATAGGGTCAGTATTAAGCCTTTGAGCCACTGTCTTTGCAACCTGAGAAGATTAAAAAAAAGAGAGAGAGAAGAGAGAAAATGAGCTGAATTTTCGTAAACAATGGAACAGCTTCCCTCCCAGAGTTGTGGATTTAGAAATTTTGACTTTACTCCATACCACATTATTTGAATCCAACAGGGGTACGGAGAAGGGAATAAATACCTGAAAATAATTCATTCTGTTGGACAATGTGACAACGAAACCAGGATCATTGGGGATAGTTTTATCACAAAAGATGACGTCAACTCGGTGGTAGAGGTCTCGGAAGTATTCTTTTGCTGTCGCTAATTCACTGTTGTCGTTTTCAGGGTCATCCCTTGTAAGCAGAAATTTTTTTTTAATTACACAAAAAATGTTGAAATACTGAAAAGGTGATCGAAATCTGTAGCTCCTGGTCAACCTTTAAAAATTATTCTGTCCAAGTGAACAGACCTGTGCTATAAAAAGTAATTTGAACAGTGAACTACTAAAATAATGTACACATGCTAAAAAGAACAAAAATGAGAGTGAACTGTTTTTTTTAAATAATTTCATAAAGAAATAATTGTAATCACAAATTGTAGCCAGCCAACATAGCCGATCACTCAACAAAATTCCAACAGATTATGAGCAAAATGGGATGAACATTGTTTTGAGTAGATATCTCACTTAGAATGATGCTCTGCCAGAGTATTTCAAGTAAACTGCATCCCACTAGAATGAAATTTGAGAAACGTTGAGTGTTTCACTAGACAATAGGTAAGTAGTTGAAACAAATACTTTACTCCTTCAGTTGTTGTACTGAGGTCACAATATTAAAAGCAGTAGTACTCTTACTACCTCCATCACGTAATTATCAAAAAGTTGACAATGGAGATCATTTTTAAATGTTGTTAAACTTTGAATAGACAGGAGGCAAAAAAGGCACGCCTAAATTGTTAAAAGAGAGGTCCAACCTGGATCTAAGGAGAAATCTCATGAGAGAGAGAACAACTAACCCAGGGGTAGCCAACCTTGGCTCTTTTATGACTCATGGACTTCAACTCCCAGAATTCCTGAGCCAGCTCTGGGAGTTGAAGTCCACGAGTCATAAAAGAGCCAAGGTTGCCTACCCCTGAACTAACCAATGGAACAAGCTTCCCTCCCCGAGTTTTGGGCGCTCCATTGCTGGAGGTTTTCCAGAAAAGTTTGGACAAACATTTGACAGGCATGATATAAGGTCTCCTTCTTTGAGTAGGGGGTTGGACTAGAAGACCTCCGAGGTCCCTCCAGCCCTAGGATTCTATAACGGTTGTTTCCATTGTTTGCTATAAGAAATTACATTGGATTGTAGGCATCACTCACACATAGCCTACATTTGTTCCTACGACAAAAACAAATGAAAGGTATAAAGGCTTCTTTCTGGTACCCCCCTTTTTCCTCCAATAGAATATCCTAAATCACATGGGATATGAGGTGTCCTGTCCACCACCCCCCCTCCGGCCTGGAAAAATGGTTGTTTTGTACTTAGAAGGTTTCAATGGTAAAATGTTTTGCTTATCCCTGTTTTCTCTTAAGATAGTGGTGGATTTAGGTCAGGGGTAGGCAACCTTGGCTCTTTTATGACTCGTGGACTTCAACTCCCAGAATTCCTGAGCCAGCCACGCTAACTCAGGAATGCTGGGAGTTGAAGTCCACGAGTCATAAAAGAGCCAAGGTTGCCTACCCCTGATTTAGGTGTATTGGACTACACCCTCCAAACCCATATTGATTGGGCTGCTGGAGGTTATGGAGGCTGAAATTGCACACATCCAAAAGGACATTCCATTGGGAGAACCTGGGATTGAAATTTTCAGAGTTCTTGCACAAAAATGGTGACAAGCCTACTTTTGAAATACTATGATGTCACCGTCCATGAGTTCGTCAAGAGCTTTGTCAAGGGAAACATCATAGTCTTGAATTCTCTCTGTTAAATTCGGTTTAACTTCCTGGAAAATAAACAAACAAGACAAGAAATTAAGGGACTAGTTATCCTAATTAAGGAGAAATAGCTCAGTTTCAATCCTAAATAAAAATTGCATATTCTTTTTGTATAGGTAGTTATAGTACACATACATCAGTATTCTGCATCATACAGTACATTTAACAGCTATTCCTGAAGGATAAAAATGTACTCTAACTAAGCCATGCACTGAAGATAACTTTGAGTTACAAACACTAACAAATGTATTCCAGCATTAGCTCTGAGGGATCTATCCAACTTCTATTTTGGAAAGAACAAAAGTAAAATGATTAGCCTCTGTGGTTTTTGCAATTTTTTTTTTAATAATATTTTATGAGAGAGGCTTCCCGGAGTCTAGAAAAAGATATGGCAGTTTGTGCAGTGCTACAAGCACGGAAGATCTGCGTGTTTGAGGTATCACTGGGGTAATAAACTTAAAATTGTTAACTAAAGCAAAGATAAGTTACAAGATTTCTGTAACCCAATTTCTCTTTCCCTTTCAATAAATCTGATTAAGGAAAGCTGAGTATCTTTATTTGAGTTCTAAGTTGCTGCTGAGGGTGTGATTCATTTTTAGAGGGTTACCTATATTTTTGTGTTTCGTTAGAACCAACCGAGGCTCTTATACCACTGACAAATTTGTTCTGGCATAACTTTTTATGATGAGACATCGTCAAATATTTTCTTTGTCTCTGTTTTCAGAGGGACTATTCTTGGGTGAAAATGTTGTAAAAACGTAATGTAAAACTTCAATTATATAGATTAACTGAGGTGAAGGAATCATATTACAACCACACAATTCGCTTAATAATTATGGTGACTCAATTTATAATAGAAGTAAATTTTTTTAAGAAGAGGCTAGACAGCCACTTGTCTGAGATTGTATAGGTCAGGAATTGAAGTCCACGAGTCATAAAAGAGCCAAGGTTGCCTACCCCTGGTTTAGGTCCTCTTGCTTGAGTAGGAGGCTGGACTAGAAGACCTCCAAGGTCTCTTCCAGCTCTATTCTATTCTTCTTCTTCTAGAAATTCTGATCTCAATAGTGGCTGTAAGTCAAGAACTACCTGTACTGTATGCAATATTAAAAATTTTTCCATGGGCCACAAAACTGTCTTTATTTATATGGGGACATTGAATGCATGAATGAAGGCGAATCTACATGTCCCAGGATAATGTTGCAGGATCCAATCTGGGTCCTGGTTCTGTGTTCTGCACTTCTGGACTCATACTGGAGCCCATCCTCGGAGAATTTCTCTCTCTGTGCACACATTCTGGTTAAAGAGAAATTCCCCGAGGATGGGCTCCAACAAGTTGGAAAGCTGAGAAGACAAAACTTCTGGTGACCAACCCAGATGGGACTGAATGCAATTCATAATTCACTGATGCGTCTAAAATTGCACCAGGCTCCTTCTTATCCCCTTTTCAACACGTTCCCTTCTACTGATATTGCTGGACGGGGATTTAAAGGGGACTAAAAAAAGGGAGGCTCCAGAGCTTTTGACAGTTGGTGCCTTGTTAAAGAACCTGCATGTTCGCATAATAATTGTATGATTTCAGGAAAACACGTGTTCAAATTAAGAAAACACTTAAAGTTGTGGGTACCACCTTAAACTGAAATGTTTATTTTTTGGGGGGACTGCATGGCAACCAAAACCAGTCTGAAACAGCTTTTTAGCTTTGGCTCCTATGTGATGAAGATCTCTATAGAATGACCAGTTGTCCTTTGACAATTCCCAACCAATATACAGTAACGGCACGTTGCAACAGCAAGTGGGCAACTAAATTTCATTTTTGATGTGTGCCGTTGTGCCCACAGTAAAAAAATGACAATAAAGGTTATCTTATCTTATCAACAGAACTCTTTATAATTTTCCAACCTCTAAAGAAAAGGGAGAGACTCAACCCAGATGGCCAATACTTGTAGCCCAAATTTAACTGAAGGTTGGGTGATCAGCTGACCCCTCAGTTGTTCTCACCAGATGCTTATAAAATCTGGGCAGAGCACCTTCCAGGAGGCCTTAATTCCTTGGGGAAGGACATAAGGAGCTTGAACTTCGCTTGACACTGCAGTTCCCTTAAAAGCAACTCTTTAGCAACCTAGCTGTAGCTTTCTGGCCCACTCCACGGACAACACAACACTGCAGGTCTTGAAATTAACAGTGTGAGCTACTCAGGCCAGTCCTGTATACCAACTTTGAAGATAAAATTCCACAAGCAATGATGATGTCCATAAGAAGCATTCATAACAACATGAGAGCAGCGTATACATGCTGACAGAGTTCTCATTATGTGTTGTTAGCATGTTCGTTCTAACACAAGTGACATAAATGGCCCAATTTTTCTAGGGAAGTGTAAAATGCTTTGGATGCAGAATAGTTGTTCAAAGTGGCTATTCCAATCTCAGAGGAAGTAGTACAATGGTTGCCTGACCTTACTGGTCTGCAGAGAGGGCTGTGAATATTTTCAGAATGTGGAAGTATCAATAATGTCTTATTGCAATCACAGACCAGCATTACAAATGAAAACAAATAAACAGATAAAATAGTGAATTACTATTAGCGGTAGATTATCAGTGGGCAGTTAGGAGTCAGCCTAATTCTGCACACAATATAATGAAATTTAGCCACATTCAGAGAAGCTACTTAGTACTGATCTGTTAACCGCAGTTTTAGATAAAAGAGATCAGTATTTCCCAGGTATTTTATAAGGTGGAGTGTTATAAATTGAGTACGTTGAGTCCTTATAGAAAATTCAGTACAGCAGGATGTCAACTGTGGTTTCAGTGGTCTCTTGTCCACAGGGATGTGGAACTAGTGAAATGCTTCCTGAGGTCACAGCAACCCATTTCAACCTCAAATAATTTGCTATGTCTGATTTTTTCAACAGCCCTAAAAGTTCAAATGCGCTAATTTCCATGCAAGTTTCACAATGCAGAATGACAGATTTTTCAAATGAATTGTTACAAGATGCATTTCATTAAGTTTTTTTTTTTTTAAAGAAACTCTCGATGTAAAAAATTTAAATCGTTGATTGGAACATAATTTGGAAAAACTGCCAAACTTGCAATTCAATCCAAATATTTGGAAAAACAAAGACTTTCATTTAAAAGAAATGTGTTCATATTTGGATTGCTTACAGTTTATTTTGCTGTAAAGACATTCATTCACTCTGACAATATTTCATAACATTCAGCCTTATCTTTTTCCAAGATAAATGTCTTAAAGAATAATTCTACTTTTAAGGAAAAAGTAAATAAATGGCCCAAACCTCATAGAGGATAAGATTAGATTCTTGGGGAAATCCTGCTCTTTCACACATAACTGGCAGCAAGTCACCTTTGGAAGAAGAACAGGAAAAAAAAAATACATATTGCAATTTCTGCTTCTATGGAAAAATACCGGGTCTAGAAATCATTTTAATTATCTAATGTTATGCTTTAGCTCAGCAATCAAACCTAGAGCTGAAAATTAACTTCTCTCATTTTCTCTCACAGATTCTGCAGATAGAGGTAATGTTTACTGTCCTATATTTAATGAGTTAAGACAAATATATGATCTGAAACTACAGAATGTTATTATGCAAACCATAGTATGTGGGGTGGAATCCAGGGCAAGATGGGATTATCTTTTGGCTGAACACAATTCTTGGGGGGCTCTTCATGAGTGACAAAAACATCAAAAACTTACGTATTTTACAGGATATAGGTGTGTAGATATGTCCACAATAATTCAAACTTCGTGTCTTTGGATCATACATTTTCAGGAACAGCATTACATNTCCCACTCCTAACTCACCGAGACGCCGCAGCATGATACCGTGGTCCACGGTATCAAAAGCTGCTGAGAGGTCCAAAAGCACAAGGACAGAGGAATAACCCCTGTCCCGGGCCCTCCAGAGATCATTCACCAACGTGACCAATGCCGTTTCCGTGCTGTGTCCCGGCCTGAAGCCCGACTGGTATGGGTCTAGATAATCTAACTAAGCCATGCACTGGCCCACTCCACGGACAACACAACACTGCAGGTCTTGAAATTAACAGTGTGTGAGCTACTCAGGCCAGTCCTGTATACCAACTTTGAAGATAAAATTCCACAAGCAATGATGACGTCCATAAGAAGCATTCATAACAACATGAGAGCAGTGTATACATGCTGACAGAGTTCTCATTATGTGTTGTTAGCATGTTCGTTCTAACACAAGTGACATAAATGGCCCAATTTTTCTAGGGAAGTGTAAAATGCTTTGGATGCAGAATAGTTGTTCAAAGTGGCTATTCCAATCTCAGAGGAAGTAGTACAATGGTTGCCTGACCTTACTGGTCTGCAGAGAGGGCTGTGAATATTTTCAGAATGTGGAAGTATCAATAATGTTTTATTGCAATCACAGACCAGCATTACAAATGAAAACAAATAAACAGATAAAATAGTGAATTACTATTAGTGGTAGATTATCAGTGGGCAGTTAGGAGTCAGCCTAATTCTGCACACAATATAACGAAATTTAGCCACATTCAGAGAAGCTACTTAGTACTGATCTGTTAACCGCAGTTTTAGATAAAAGAGATCAGTATTTCCCAGGTATTTTATAAGGTGGAGTGTTATAAATTGAGTACGTTGAGTCCTTATAGAAAATTCAGTACAGCAGGATGTCAACTGTGGTTTCAGTGGTCTCTTGTCCACAGGGATGTGGAACTAGTGAAATGCTTCCTGAGATCACAGCAACCCATTTCAACCTCAAATAATTTGCTATGTCTGATTTTTTCAACAGCCCTAAAAGTTCAAATGCGCTAATTTCCATGCAAGTTTCACAATGCAGAATGACAGATTTTTCAAATGAATTGTTACAAGATGCATTTCATTAAGTTTTTTTTTTTTTTTAAAGAAACTCTCGATGTAAAAAATTTAAATCGTTGATTGGAACATAATTTGGAAAAACTGCCAAACTTGCAATTCAATCCAAATATTTGGAAAAACAAAGACTTTCATTTAAAAGGAATGTGTTCATATTTGGATTGCTTACAGTTTATTTTGCTGTAAAGACATTCATTCACTCTGACAATATTTCATAACATTCAGCCTTATCTTTTTCCAAGATAAATGTCTTAAAGAATAATTCTACTTTTAAGGAAAAAGTAAATAAATGGCCCAAACCTCATAGAGGATAAGATTAGATTCTTGGGGAAATCCTGCTCTTTCACACATAACTGGCAGCAAGTCACCTTTGGAAGAAGAACAGGAAAAAAAAAATACATATTGCAATTTCTGCTTCTACGGAAAAATACCGGGTCTAGAAATCATTTTAATTATCTAATGTTATGCTTTAGCTCAGCAATCAAACCTAGAGCTGAAAATTAACTTCTCTCATTTTCTCTCACAGATTCTGCAGATAGAGGTAATGTTTACTGTCCTATATTTACTGAGTTCAGACAAATATATGATCTGAAACTACAGAATGTTATTCTGCAAACCATAGTATGTGGGGTGGAATCCAGGGCAAGATGGGATTATCTTTTGGCTGAACACAATTCTTGGGGGGCTCTTCATGAGTGACAAAAACATCAAAAACTTACGTATTTTACAGGATATAGGTGTGTAGATATGTCCACAATAATTCAAACTTCGTGTCTTTGGATCATACATTTTCAGGAACAGCATTACATCATCTACAAGTTCAGCAAGCAAAGACAATTTTCAGAGAAGAACAAAATCTCCATTGGTGCTCAAGCTGTATATATGTACATACTATGTATGTGTGTGTGTATGAATTTATTTTGTATAGTGTTAAAATATTATAAGAGAAATATTTGATATTTAATGATTTGGATCATAGTTTTATCCTTCTGAAGTGATTGATAAATCAATCATTCAGCCAATTGTAATTGTACTTCCAATCTAAAAACAGTGAATTTACTCAATCTTAAAACATTTTTTTTTAAAAAACAAATCATGTTGCAGCAGACTGAGAGAAGAGCCAGGAGTAATCCATTGACTCTGACCAAAATCCAACTTTTTCCTGAACTGTTTCCTGTTTCTAGGTACTATCATGCAGTTTAAAGGTTGACTCAGCCTTCCATCCTTCCGAGGTGGGTAAAATGAGGACCTGGGGGCTTCAGAGGCTGTCAAACTGGAACTGGGGATCAAAGGGGGGCTATCCACAAGGCTCCTTAAAACGTGTGGGTTTCAACTGCCAGAATTCCCCAACCAGCATGGCTGACTGGGGATTCTGGGAGTTGAAGTCCAAGCATCTTAAAGTTCCAAGATTGAGAAACACGGTTTAGATATCCAAGGACTTAATGGATTGACCAACTTTTTTTTTTTACTAGATGAGAGGACTTCCAGATAACCTGGTTCATCCTAGTTGGGGAAGAAACAATTCATACAACACTGCAAGGAAATCATCATTTCATCAATACAAGCAGCTTCAAAAATCCTATAATGCAAAATGCTGACTTTTCTATGGAATGGAAGATAGCCATATTACTCCCTTCGGCTTGAAACTTACGGTCTTTGTCGAACTTGGGTAACGTTGTCCCCGTAGCAGCCATTTCTGGATCTACTGTTTCAAGGAATATTGTCCATGGGTTTTCATTGTCACTGAGCTCAATCATCTGTGAGCAATTAATAAAGAGGAGGGAAAAAAGCAATAAGCAAAGGAGTGCAAAATAGTCAGAGGAAGGAACAGGTAATATTACATCTGCATTAGTGAAGAAGAGCAGCTTTAAAATATTTTTTAATAATTCAATGTTGCATGGGATTAGTAGAAACCTGGACTCAAAAATTTTGTTATAACCTGGGGGAGGGTGCCCTTGATCAGCTAGTGCAGTGATGGCGAACCTTTTAGAGACCGAGTGCCCCAAACTGCAACCCAAAACCCACTTATGCATTATCGGGTGCCGGGTGGGTGTGGCCCATTGGCTGGATGTGGCCCACTGACTGGGTGTGGCCCATTGGCTGGGCATGGTTGCGGTGGTAACGGCAGACTGGGTGGGACTAAAAAGTTCAATCAATCAATTCCAACATTGCAAGATCTTTTTTTTCCCCGCGAGAAGTTGAAATTGACTGATTTAACTTTTTTTTTTTTTTGCACACGGCGGCAGAGGCCTAAAGTGAAAAGGTTTTATAAAACCCAGCTGAAGGCCTAGGACTGGGGCGACGGTGGTGCGCGTGCCCACAGAGAGGGCTCTGAGTGCCGCCTCTGGCCCCCGTGCCATAGGTTCGCCACCACTGAGCTAGTATAATCCAGGACTCTGGTTTTTGTATTTTGTTTTTAAATACGTTCAGGTTAGGACAAATCCTGGCATTCTTCCTAGGCCCAGCTAATTTTACACCTAAGAGTTCACAATCTCCTGATTTCCAGACTAGTGTCTTAGCTATATTGGCTCTCAATCTAGGGCATATGCAAATTTAAAATATTATTTAGGTTCCTTGGAAAAAAGAAAAAAATGTACAAAATGAGGATTTTTATCTGCTTCCCTTTCTTAAACAGAAGTCATTTGGTGTATTGCCAGCACTATTTTAAAATTTATTAAATTAAAAAGAAATAGTGCTGGTAGCGCTATTGGTCATGTACTTTTCAATACAGCAGAATTTTACATGTGCAAAATTGTATGCGTCTATCTTAGACAACTGTAGAGAAATGAAGGCGAATAAATGAAATTAACTAATTTGGAACTGGACAACATTTCAGAAGTAATATTTCCTCTCTGATGGGCACTCACAGTTTTATTGCCATCAGCTTCATTGTCTAACATGGCTGGTCTTTTTGTCCCATTGCTTCGAGCTTGCATCGGCCATAACCGTATCTGATCTTGCGGGAAGCCCTACAAAATTAAAAAAGCAAACAAACATGCTGACTGGAAAAAGATAAGTCATTACCAGATCAGTGTCAGGTTTTTAATGCCCAAATGTTAAAATTATGCTATGTAAAAAAAAAAAAAAGGCAGGGACTAAACCACAACCTCCTGCTGAAGACGCTCACCATTGTTTGGGAAAGGTTTTGAACAAATTCCGTCAGTGTGGAATTTTTCAAGACTTTGAACACGGTGTATTTCACTTTCTCTTCATCATACATGTCATTGCCTTGATGGCCACAGAACTGGTCCTCTGTTACTATCTGAAATTACACAAGCATTTGGTTATTGAAACTACCTAGATCACAATGGGAGTCTTCCTTATTTCCACAAGGATGGGTAGCTTAGAAGTCAAACATTCATGTTCCGGCTTGTAGTTCCTGTCAACTACTTGTGTTTGTGTGCAGCAAATGCTAAGATCTAACTCAGATTCAGATCCGTGACAGAGGTAGCAGCTTTTGCTAACTTCTGCCTAGCAGGGCATGTTGGGTATGTTGCAATGGTCATAAGTATGAAAAACGGGCATAAGTCACTTTTCTCAGTGCTGTTGTAAGCTGGGGACTACCTGTAAAGTGGTACCTTAATACTCAACTGTTTTGAAACTCATTGAATTTAGTACTCAGCGCATTTTGACACAAAAATTTTGTTCATCGTTTGTTTGGCACTCAATGCACCAGCTAGAATTTGACGGTGTCAACTGCCTTGTGACTCACTACTTTATTCTTATGGGAAAATTTGTTTTGGTACTCATCGCACCTCCCAGGACCAATTAACAGTGAGCACCAAGGTACCACTGTACATCAAATCAACATCCATGGCTTATACTGAAGTCTTATGGGGAGACGTCACAAAGATTTGGGCTGGGAATGTCAAGAGTCCACTGAGCCATAAACCCAGGGTTAGGGTTAGGGTTAGGGACGGCGAGTTAGGGTTAGGGTTAGGGGTTAGGGTTAGGGATGAGCTTTTAGCCTTGGCTGGTTATTAGGATAAGTTAGAATGACCCAAATCCAGATGGAGGGGATGAGAATGAGGTCCAGCGAAGGGAAAATGAGCAGAAACACCACAGAAAATTCATGGCAGCTCCTTCTCCAAGCTCACCTGTACTTGCATATAGAGATGGGCTTCTTGTCTCTCCTTTCTCTTTTGGGCCTCTATTCTTTTTTCTTCCTGCAATCGTTCCACCAGCTGCTGAGGAATATCATGATCTGTGACTGCTTGCAAAACCTCACCTGAAAGAAATGCAACATTGGCATTAGGGGAGTTTTCAATGCAGGACAAAGCAGCCAATGACTTGAGGATGGTCATTTGTGTTTGTGTCTGTCTGTCTGTCTAATCTCAGATATTTGAGGGACTCTCTAAACATAAATTTACCCATCCCATCAGGTCCAGCAAGACAGGAAGAGCAGGTCAACCTATTTACCAAAGCACCAGAAGGCAAGACAAGAAACAATGGATAGAAACTAATCAAGGAGGGAAGTAACTTCCTAACAATGAGAACAATTAACTATTGGAACAGATTGCCCTCAAAAGTTGTGGATGCTCCATCACTATAGGTTAAAAAGAAACTGGACAGCCATTTGTCTGGAATGGTCTAGGATCTCCTGCTTGAGCAGGGGGTAGGTCTAGAAGTCTTCCAGTGTCCCTTCTAACTCTGTTACTCTGAATGTGGCAAGCATTGTCCAAGAAAGAATGTCATCTGATGGGACCCAGGAGGAGACATCTTATACTCCAGTAACCACCCTCTGAAATATTCTCATCAGAAGTGAGACTTGTCCCCCAACTGCTGGCCTTCTGTTACAGCCTAAAACCTTGGCTCTATTGCTTGGCCTGCTACACTGGGGGTGGATGATGCGTAGTGAAGATTCTTACCCCAGGCTCCCCATCATCTTGGTTCTTAGCTTTTAATCTTTTCAATTGCTTTTACCACTTTTAAAATGTTTTTGTAATTTGCCCAGACTTACTGTATTAGTGAGTTGGGTGCATAGAAAATAAATAAAGAAATAAATGAGTGAGTGAGTGAGTGAACAATGGGTCTGATTCTTGCCTAAGGCCCCTTTGTTATGTTCTACAAGAAAGCAGAATTTATTAGCCTCCCTCCCCAGTTTGTTCATAATACAAACTGTATTGCGACAGAGGGATTGTCTGCAATCCTTCAGAGAGTCAGTTTTCTATCAGAGATGATGAACTCATTTGCACTGGTGAACTGCTAGAAAGAACTTTAGCATTTGAAATTTCACTCTCCCACTTAGACTATTTATTTATAGTTACCAATCTTTTAAACGCCATGATATAACATTCCTTTGTAATGTTAAGCCTCTTAACGACATGATTTCTTTTCAGCAGTCTGGATTGCAGATTCTATGAAGTACTGCCCAAACTGACATCATGAAAACTGCTAAGCACGTCATACTTTTTAAAAAACAGATGATACAAATTATCGTGTGTCTCAAGGACAGCATTTTCTTCAGTAGGATTTTAGAAATGTTTCTGTACTCAGTATGGCACACACGTTATTTGTGCATGTCTTCATCTGAAGAGAGAGAGATAAATTTAAAACAACAAGCAGAACTTCAGAGAAGTTCATTCTTGATCCCAGAGGGAGGCAGCCAATAGCTTAAGCCTTGTATTTATTGCAATGATTTATAGTTTAGAAGCAGATTTTTTTGATTTTCAGCTTTTTAAACTGTTCTAAGATGGAGTGCAATAGTCAAATTTTAAATCTCAAGCCCTTTCAGTACAAAATATTCCAAACGGTGGGACTGGTTATAGAAAAATGTCCAATATTATTCTCCAGATGGAGACCATTTGTATCTAGCAGTTGTTTTTCACATCTCTTTTTGAAAGGGATTGTCCAGGAACCAGGCTTCTTAAATACTCAGTTTCCCCCTTTTTCACAACAAGAAACCTGGCAGTTTCTGATACCACCTTAAAATATATGCTTTAAGTAATTAGAGAAACAAGTAACACTTTTCTTATTATTGTAAACTTCATTTGCCTTCCCTTCATTTTAACATCACAGTTTTGCAAGCGTGGTCTCAGAAGTGCAAAATGTGAGAAAGTTCTTAAATATAGTGTGGAGAAAGACAACATTCAGGTCTGTTTTACATTTCAAAAGCCACATCCCAGTAGTCTGTAGAACAGATGAGAGGTACACCTACTCAGTTTTGACTCCCTGATATAAACCAACATGTATGCGTTGGTACAGTGTCGCACAGATAGGTCATCGTCGTGGCCTCCATAGTTATGTTCAATTGCTTCTTCTTTTGTACATCTAGATACAACATCATCATCAAATTTACACCACTGTGAAAATAAAACAATGAATGTAAAAACTGCAACATGCAGAAAGTATTCAGTAAAACATTTATGCTCTAAATTTTAGAAACTTAAACAGAGACAAAATTTATTGTAATTTGGGATGCTAAAGCACTGCAAACTGCCTTGTCCCAAGCAGACCCAAATATGTAACTCAGAATAACTTTCTGTTATGCCAAGGAATAACAGAAAGCCTTAAGTTTGACACTGGAGCAATCAGATGGGATTCATTCTAGATTGTACAAGCCAAGAAGAAGTCTCAGAACAGATCCAAGTTTCTCCTTGTTTGTTCCTTTGCACTGGAATTGTTTCAAATTCCTCTTGCACATTAAGCGTAGCATACAGAAAGAAGACTGCGTGGCTATTTCTTAAAAAAAAAATAACTTAATATCTAGCACGTTAAAATATTTGGCGATGCAGAAACAGAAACTATACATTATTTAAACAGAAACTATAGATTATTCAAGTTATGCAAACAATTTTTCCCCTGACATCTGATAAAATTGATAACTTTTCTAAAATCTCAAGAGTTAATTTTCCACAATTTCCAAGACATTATATGTGGGGAAAAAATATATCACTCCTGATGCTAAAATTGTTAACAGGTGTTTCAGTTAAAGGATTTCCAGTTAAATACTTGATGGTTTTTCTATTACTTACTTTTCCATCCCCTTTCGGGTTCAAGTAAACAACATAATGCCCCCCATGGTTATCACCACTGTGTACGAGCACTGCGTGAAGAATATAATTTGCAGCATCTTTAGGATCAGTTTTTTGCAAGAATTCATCCAGAGGCAACTGATCTGGAAATTCAAACCTTTTACAAAAATAGGAGAAAAAAAAGAGTTATATGGGGTTTGGAAATGCATTCAAGTAATCAAGTTCTGTGTAACACATAAATGCATCACTTTTGAGATATCAGTTGCATTGCTAGGCTTCTTATTTAGTATAGGTATCATAAAAATATTTTCTCTTTACTACAGAATTGTTGTGCTATGTATGACTGTTTGCTAAGTTGTAAAAGATTAAGGCAGGAAGGGAGGGAGGGAGGAGAAAAAGGGGGAAAGAGAGAGAGAGGGAAAATTACTAGAGAAGTTTTCTTGTTGCAGGTCCTGAAATCACCCTGCCAAATGCAGAAAAATTTCAGCGTTATCTTTTCCCCATCTTCCTAATTCCGTGAAGACCGAGGTTAGAATGTGTTTGCAGGGTCTCCTCAATTTTAGCTTTGTTGCAAAAGCCGGAGACTCCACAAATGAAGCTGAGTATTTCTACATCATTTACCGAAAGGTCAGAAAACAGAGAGTCATGGCCTTCTGCCAATTCACATCATCAGCCCACCTGTGTTTTTGTTATTTTTATCAATTGCCCATCTTTCCGGCTGCAGTGCTTCCCAACTCTACTTGGCGAAGACAGAGCCTGTCTATGACAGAATGCATTTATGGAAAGCGTGAAGGCCCTACTTAAAACTGGGGTGGGGTGGGGAGAGGAACAGCAGTTCCTGAGGTTTCCACTGGTACAAAAGAGCTCAAGATACTCCTTACGACAGCTCTGAGGCTTGTTATAACGTAAGCAAGATCACAGGACTCCAGCTAGTGCAGTGGTAGCGAACCTATGGCACGTGTGCCGGAGGTGGCACTCAGAGCCCTCTCTGTGGGCATGCGTGCCATGCCCCAGAGATGGCAACCGTCCCTCTTCAACCAGCTGCCCGCTAACTCGCCAAGGTCCCACATGGCCAGATGCATACCAGCACGGCTGGCTTCCCTCCCCCCCGTCCCATCCCTCCTGGCCTCACATGCTCTCCTTTTCCCAGGCGCAACCCACTGCATCGCCTCCTCAGCTGTCGGCCGGCCGTCCAGCTCAGAGGCGGCTTCTCTGAACTGCTGGCGGCAGGCTGTGGAGCCCCAGAGTGCACTGGTCGAGGGACTGGCAGGCTGTGGCTGCTGATGGACACTGTCAGCTCTGTGTGAGGAAGCCGATGGTGTCAGGCAGCAGGCGCCCCGGCCTTGCCTCACCCTGCGACAATGGCACCCCCGCCCTGCCTCGCCTCGTCTTGCTTCGCCTCACCCCGCAGGATGAGCCTCCTGCCCACCGCCCCACTTGCCAGAGACCCCCTGGATCTCCCCCAACCCTGCCCGGCCCCCACAGGTGTCCTTCCCCACGAGCAACATAGAGGTGACCACGCCCACCTTGGCCACAGCCATCCAGTCTGTCATGACCACCGCAGCCACGCCCACCCAATGGGCCACGCCCACCTGGCACCCGGCAATAAATAAGTGGGTTTTGGGTTGCAGTTTGGGCACTCGGTCTCTAAAAGGTTCGCCATCGCTGAGCTCGTATCTCCCAATTGCTGAAAGCAAACTTTTCGGTGTCATGCATCGCTCCCTGTCCATCCAGGGGCACGCCTTTGACACACAGTGGCTGCCAATGGTGCAAAGTTATTCTCATCCACTCAGCAGAAACTGAAACCCCACATTAGAATCCTGACCGTCATTCATATAAATATGTTACCTATCATTTATCTTGATGTTCTGGTCCGTCTGGGGATCGTACATGAAGCGCATGAGCTGTAGGTGTAGTACAGGTGGCAACGTTAGGAACTTGACCCCTTTTTCTGCCTCCTGTGTGTTGAGCAGATAAATACACAGATGAACAACTGAGTTATTACCATCATCTGCTGAAAAATGGGCTTTCAACCAGAATGGCAAAGTGGGCCTCAGCTTCGCATAAAATATAGATAGTCCTTGACTTACAACCTACCCCTGATCTAAAGATTTGTGTGATCACCAATCTTAAAACAATTCTGGGAGACTCACACCACCAGTAAAACTAGAAAACCATAAAAAACCACATGATAAAAACAAAAAAAAAAGGCAAACATTCCGTTACATGCCTGGGATGTCCTCCCCCTCTCCCCCGCCCTTGGGGGAAGGCCCAGCTTCTTATGGCCTTCTGTAAAGGGGAACTGTAAATGTAAATGTAAAAAGGGGACTACAAGATTGCCGGGGTGGGGAGAGCATTCTATGGGGCGGGGGCTACTATGGAAAAGACATGTTTCCCAGGTCCCACTGGATGGCAATATTTAAGAGGGGACTGGAGGATGCCCGTTCTCTCCAACTTGGTGGGGATGGGCAGAGAGCCTCAGGGTGAGGCAAAAGGTATGTGGCCTTGTCTGTGATGGCTCCCCCTTCATGGAACCCTCTTTGCCTTGAAGTATGAGGAATCCCTATCTGACTAACATTCTGCAAGTTAGTTAAATTTGCTGATTTGATTGAGGGCACTGTGATTATGCTTTTTTCGGGGGGATGTTGGCTATGCTGGTGTTTGACCCAGAGTCCTTCTGGGATAGAACCATTAATAAATAAACACACTTAAATAAATGAACATGCTGCTTAGGCATGCTATGCTTCTCTAGCACCGTTTGCAATTCCACAGACCCGACTGAAGGCTAAGCATACCTGCAAACCATGTTCTCCCGCATCATATTTATTATCTCCATCCAGCTGTTCCACTGCAACATAATCTATGAAAGACTCAAAGACTGAAAGAGACAAGAGACAAGGAAGAAGAGCTTTGTGTATATGCTCCACATTAAAAAGATATGAAATATATCAGTGGACACAACACTTTTCCCTCCCCGCAACTGAACCGAGGCATTTCAGAACCGAATAGAGTAGGGAGCTAGTTGAATTTCACGAATGATTTAGGAGACCTTGGTGCTCTCTGAGCAGACCCCACTCCCTTTGACACAGATGATGTCACCTAGTTGGGTAATCTAAAAAGCAGAGACATCACCCTGCCAACAAAAGTGCGTATAGTCAAGGCCATGGTTTTCCCAGTTGCAATGTAGGGCTGTGAAAGTTGGACCATAAGAAAGGCTGAGTGCCAAAGAATGGAGGCCTTTGAACTATGGTGCTGGAGAAGACTCCTGCGAGTCCCCTGGACTGCAAGGCGATCAAACCAGTCAGTCCTAGAGGAGATCAACCCCGACTGCTCTTTAGAAGGCCAGATCCTGAAGTTGAAACTCAAGTACTTTGGCCACCTAATGAGAAGGAAGGACTCACTGGAGAAGAGCCTAATGCTGGGAAAGATCGAGGGCAATAGAAAAAGGGGACGACAGAGAATGAGGTGGCTGGATGGAGTCCCTGAAGCAGTAGGCGTGAGCTTAAATGGACTCCAGAAGATGGTAGAGGACAGGAAGGCCTGGAGGAACGTTGTCCATGGGGTCACGATGGGTCGTATACGACTTCACAACTAACAACAACAAAGTTGGGTAATGAAATGTCTGCAAGCAAACAACCAAGCTCAGAGACAATTAAGGACTCTCCAGTTCTACCCTGAGCTTAACCCTGACCCCACCACCATCATCACTGATGATTTCACTTAGTTGGGTAATGAAATGTCTGCAAGCAAACAAACTCAGAGACTATCAAGGACTTCACAGTTCAATCCTAGCTGCATATATTCTATTGGTAAAGAAAGGCTTACTGAGGCACATGGATTCTTATTTAAGAGAGCACATACTTACTGTTTTTCTTTCCTTTTATACTAAGTTGAATATCATAATAATCCTCTATTCGTTCAGATCGATAGTCTACGTGTTTGCACTGGATATAGGACTGCAAATAAAAATCAGGTGGTGGGACACCGAGACAGGTGAACCACGCGACCATTTATCCTCCACCCCACAAGTCCAATACCTACCACCATCTTCCCTCTGAATAATTTAGGGATCGTGCCTTCCACGCAGGTGCCTTTCATTTTGTTTTCGACATTATCAAGCAACTGAAAAAAAAAACCCCCCAGAATGGCTGAATTAATAACGAGCAGCCATTAGAATTCTACGGTCTCGGACAACACAGGAGAGAGAAAGAGGTGGGTGGGGGGGATGCTCGGCTATCGCCCATGCAGGCCCATCCAGATAATTATTTGGTTTTCATCTTAAGTCTGATTGCAGGTTCTGAAGACTTCAAAATGGCATCTTCTCAATTCAAGAAAGGCATAAGACAGCCATTACTGGCAGGAAAACAAATTTACACAATCCTTCAGGTCTTTCGCTCATCAAATAGGTTCCCTACTTGTCAAAGAAAAGCTTCCTTTGAGCCAAACTGCACTCCAAGTGACCTCATGACCATTTCCATATAGTTTCCTTGGCAACAATATGGAAATTGTCTGCCACGGCCTTTTCTTTGGGGGGGGGGGCTCTTTTCCTGGTCTAACCTGTATTACTCAGGGGTCTCTCATCCAAATATTAACTCGGCCCATCATGGCTTAGCTTCTTGAGATCAGCCAAAAGGCTACCATTTGCTATGACTGTAAAACATCTGAGCTCAACTTTGGTTAGGCCCATTATTTCTACAAACCAGCAAAAGTGCCGTTTTCAGCCCATGGACCCCTTTTGCTTTTGAGAGTCATGCTGGAGTTTTGCACCCTAAAAAGGAGGGGAAGCCAGAGGAAGAAAATGGATGGGGGCCAAGACAAAATTTATAATCAATCAATCCAATGTAATTGGAATTAAGTGCAATTAATAAAAGCAAGCACTTAATATGATTATTTTTTATGCGGAGGCTGCATCAAGGACAGGAATCTCAGTACTGCGGAGTGAAAATAA